CACTCAGGGTTGATTTCCTTTAGAATGGATACGTTTGTTCTCCTTGCAGTCTAGGGGACTCTCAAGAGCCTCCTCCAACACCACAATTCAAAAGCATCAGTTCTTCGGCGGTCAGCTTTCTTTATGGTCCAGCTCTCACTTCCATATATCATCACTACAGGAAAAACCACAGCTTTCACTATTTGGACTTTTGTTGACAAGGTGATGTCCCTGCTTTTTAAGATGCTGTCTAGGTTTGTCATTGCTTTCCTCCAAAGAAGCAGGTGTTTTTTAAATTCCGTGGCTGCTTTCACCATCTGCAGTGATCATGGAGCCCAAGAAAGTAAAATCTGTCACTGCCTCCATATATTCCCCTTCCATTTCCCAGGACGTGATGGGACTAGTGGCCATGATCTTAGTTTTTACACTTAGTTTTTACAAGTGGGTTACATCAGCACAAAAACTCAGTAAGATTTTGGCCACAAAGTTATTTTTGTGGATGATGGAAGTCAATGACATGTTACTAAGGTATTATCCATTGCCAGTTAGTGGCCATGATCTTAGTTTTTACACTTAGTTTTTACAAGTGGGTTACATCAGCATAAAAACTCAGTAAGATTTTGGCCACAAAGTTATTTTTGTGGATGATGGAAGTCAATGACATGTTACTAAGGTATTATCCACTGCCAGTGCTAACATCATTATGTTATGAAAAGAACAGAGTAACAACTAAGGTTGATATGTTAGCCATCTCACTTAATGATGCCAAGCTCTAGTTTAAATGTTTTGTTGAATGCCAACAGCTTACAGTTTTGCTAATATTTAGATTTCCATAACTGAATTGAGCAATCAGAATATCACATAAGATAAACAAGTCAGGGCTGTTAGGACAGGGCATTTTGGAGGTTGCTCATTTACAGAGTTGCCGTAAGTCAGAAGTGACTTGAGGGGACAGAATAACAACTAAGTAGGAAGACACAAAACTGAAAGATGCGACATCAAAATTACAACCATGTAAGGACTGCAGACACAGCTGTCTCTAGATAATCCCAGATGTTGTCCAAAGGTCAACGGGAACTCCAGCACTGCACAGCAAAATAATGGGACTAAATCCATTAAGTCTGTGTATTTGGGACCATGGCTGCTACTCAAAAGCAATCTCTATTAAAGGCTAACTCTGACCAATGCTTTCATGGCTGACATTAGCAAAGCACTTTAACAGAATTACTGTCATGTGGATTGGATTGGTAGTCTTCATGCTCTAAGAAAATTGCAAGTGATGATGTAAAAATCTAGGGTTTTCAAAAGGCAGTGGAAGGGCATGCTGTTTTCCTGTCAGTCTCCCACCCCACCCCACAATACTTTTCACAGGTCAAACTGAAAACAGTGAATTCAATGCAGTGGGAATATTGTGAAAGAAGGATAACTGTCACAAAGCGGTCTGTCTAGCCATTCGTTTGCTGCTATGTTTTATCTTTACACTCCAAGCTATGTAGCTGTTTTTGTTAAGGGGCCTGACAATGTTGGGTTTTCTGCAAGGGCAGTTATTTGGTGATGTTACCCTTGCTCTAGTTCAGTGGTTCTTAACCTTGGGTTACTCAGGTGTTTTTGGACTGCAACTCCCAGAAGCCTTCACCATCAGCTGTGCTGGCTGGGGTTTCTGGGAGTTGCAGTTGAAAAACATCTGAGTAACCCAAGGTTAAGAACCACAGCTCTAGTTGATGTGCTCTCCCTCTATTCCAGGGCTTGGAAAAGTTTCATTTCTGGACTGCAATCCTCAGAAAGCCAAAGCAGCAGAGATTCTGGAAATTTCAGTCTAAAAAAAAGAAGCTTTTCCAGCTTTTCTTTGTTTGAAGTGAAGTTCCTCTCCCTACAAAGTCACACGCTTCCCCTACTGTTGCCACGTAAGAGATTTTCTTATCTGCCTGGCCCAGAGAAAAAGCATACAAAACAGACCGGCTGAAACTTAAGAGCAGGCAAGAGGAAGAAAGTACTACTTTAACACAAAAGGTGTGATGAACCTATGGGACTCCTTGCAGAAAATGTGATGTCCATAAGCTTAGACATTTTTTTTAAAAAAAAAAGAAAATTAGCATAGGTGGCTTGTAGCCAGAAGGGTCCATCTCTTCCCCTAAAATTCTGAAGTGAGGTGCTCCATGCTCAGTCAACAAGTTGCCTTGAGGATCAGTCAAATTCACAGAAAGGGAGACATCTATCAATGGCTGAAGCAAGGTTGGGCAACTGTGGCCCTCCAGATGTGGCTTAATTCCAGCTTTCTTGTTGGCTTGTTGACCAACAGTTGCAATGACACAAAGAGGGCCACATATTCCACAGCTGTGACCTATGTTCACTGACACTGTATCCTGCAATACACTTGCATGGGACAAAGAATAGAAGACCGTCTTCTTTGGTTATAGCCATAGCTTCCTTGGCTATAGTTTCACATCTCCCACACGGAGTTTATCAGTCAGAAACATAAGGATAACATGAGCCATTTACTAAAGTAATTGCAATCCTCTTTCACGATGCTTGTCGAGGTATCCCACTGTTGCAGTTTGGGCTTTGCACAAACCACTTGTTTCCATGTCTGGTATTTAAATTTGTAGTCCTCTGAACATGTGTTTTGCTCTGAATTTCTGATGGCACATTAAACAGCAATGCTGTTTGGCTGCATTTACTCTGTATGGAGAAGTCTGTTACATCAACCTTCTTTTCCTCCCATCCACGATGCTTACCAGAAACTCAAGATTCAGACCAAGATATATAAAATTATATACAATTGGGAGTAAATGGACAGAGAAGAACTTGTTCTCTCTCTTACACACACAACAAGAACTTCAGGTCATCCAGTAAAGCCGGTTCGGTGGTCAGATTAAAAGCAGAACTTCTTCATACAATTTGCAGTTGAACTATGAAATCAGCAGCTAGAAGCTGTAGGCACGGCCACCAACATATATGTCTTTAGAAGGTGATCAAACAAGTGAGTAGAAAATAAGGATACCCAGCTTGGCAGCTATGCGTTACTTCCAGGATCAGACTCTGAGCACCAGCTGCTAGGAAGCACAAGCAGACAGTCGCTGCTGTTGTCTTTGTGTTCTGGCACTAAAGGCAGGAATGGTGGCTCAACTGAATGAAGACCCAGTTGAGTTATCCTCATCTTCTGAGGGCCTTCAGCTATAGATGTAAGCTTCCGAAAGGTATCTGGTCAGCCGCTGTGTGAGAGACAATGTAGGGTGAAACAAGGTTTTGGTTGCTTCAGTTGGGCTCCTCCTCAGGTTGTTTTGAGAGAGAAAAATCTGATGACTGAACAAAATCTAAAGGAACAAAATAACTGAGAAGGGCTTCCCTTTAATGACACATCTGTTGCTTAAGGTGGGCTTCTTCCTCACTCCACCCAAGCCCTTCTGTGGTTCCTTCACAAAAATTCTGCTTCCTTACATCTACCGAATGAGGCCATAAACACCAGTTTATTTGAAGCAGAGGACACACATTCTGTAGTTACTTCTCAGCTGGTATGTTTAGAAATGGTCTTCAGGATGTTCACTCTGACAGTGTTTCAAAGTCCGTGAGCTGTGGTGGCGCTAAAGGCAGGAACTGAATGAAGACCCAGTTGAGTTAACCTCATCTTCTGAAGACCTTCAGCTATAGATGTAAGCCCTTGGGATGACCCTATCACAGACAGCATGGCAGGAGCAGAGCTTGTTCTGCTGCTGAATTTTACTGTGCAGATCTACACATTTACTTTTTTTTATTCCATACATTTATACTCCACTGTTCTTTCATCATGGGACTCCTGTGACACGGAACCAGGATTACTGACAGGTATACTTTATATGCTACCACCCTAAGAACCAAATCTTGGAAAATTTACTTTTTCTGGAACTCAATTTTCAGAATTCCAGAGCTGCCATTTTATCAGTTCTGGTTGGTACTATTTCAAGCAATGCATGGTAGTTGGTAGCTGCAACTGATAATAAAAAATTGTCCTGCTTCCTCCCAATGGTCAGGATTGGTGCTATCTAATGCTTATTATCTCGGCTGATATTTCCACTAAGGACAGATACACTCAATAGGGACTGAGCTGATTTTAAAACAAAACTCTAGTTTGAAGAGATCTTCAGGAACCTTTCCTTCTTCCTTCAAGGCCATAAATTTATTTATTTATTTGATTTATATCCCGCCCATCAGGTCTGGTCGACCACTCTGGGCGGCTTCCAATAAGGTGTATACAAAAACATAAGAATTTTACAAACAGTCCATAAATGCCATTTCATCTCCATTTCACATGGAGAAATTATCCTTTTTAGGTAGTTTTTACAACAAGAATACAAACAGATTTCATAAAGTGATGGAAAAGACTAGGGACATGTTTCATTTCAGCTTCCAAGGCTCTGCAGTTTAACACTGTTTTTATATAAATAGAATAGAAAAAAAATCATAGATATAAGAACCAAAATTCAGCTGCTAATCTCAATCAGAGTAAACTCCCAGAATCAAATGAATTTACACAAGTGTTGACTTCCAAGTCAGCCACTGTGTCAATAGGTCTACTGTAGAAAGGACTAGCAACAGTTTTTTTGGACCAAAATATCTTGCTGGCCAGGAGTTCTTTCTTTCTCCTGCCCCCGGGTCAAAACTTGAAATCCCACATACATACGAAATGCCTTCTATTTCCGGCATGTAAAGAACTATTTCAAGCCTTCATTCTCCATTTCCATCCGGCTCACACACAGCAGGACCAACTTCATTATTTAATTACAATTACAGGTCTGTATATGGGTGTGTTTACAAGGCCTAAGTAACAAAAAACATTATCCAAAAGGCTGGGCTGCTTTTAATTTAGCTGGCACCACAATCATCAATGAAATCAGCCACAAACTGATGGTTTCTGAAAGTAACTGGCACACTCTTGTCAACTCCACTTGCGTGACAACTTGTATGCACAATTAAGGCACATCCACATTTTGTGTCTGCGTGAGAAACTGTGTTGTGCATCACATGCATAACATGTCGTTAGGATGCACCCATGTCATTGCTTGGAAAAGTTCTTTTTCCCTAGGAAATTCTAGGAGCTGTCCAGCGCCTCTCTTCTTTCTTAAAACCCTTAGGCATTAGGTATCTGAGAGACCACATTAGGTCAAGGATCTTGGAAACACGGATGCTTAAAGATTTTAACGCTTGTGTGAAGTTCTCTTGTTACATGTTTACTGTGACAAAGTGATATAACACTGGTGCATTTCACAACAGCCAACAGTGTATGGAATTATCCTTTCGTTATTCCGATTGCATTTAGGGTGTTAATTAGAACCCCCAGCAAGATGTTTATTGGCATTAATACTTGCAAAGTGTTTTCCTGGATTTTGTTTCCTTACTTCAAAACCCTCTGCAAACCTCAGAGCATCACGTTCGCTTTGCTTCAAAAACCTCAACAGTAACATAGATAGAAATACTTACGTGGACAGAATAACCGAACGACAAAGTAAAAGCCAAATACCCAGTGCGGTTTCTTTTCTTTTTTAGAAAGAGAGCAAAAAAAGAGACCTAGACTTCCCCCTCTGAATGTCTAATCTGGAATGGGTTTTCAGGGTACGAAGCAGCAAAGAGAGAGAGAAAGGGGATGTTGGTGGAGACAAAACCTCGAAGACAAGAGGAGCGGCAGAAAGTGGGTTGCGGGGGAGAGAAGACGGGGTCGTGCGTCTGCTTGACAAAAGCCATCAATTACCAGCGTCTGGTGTGGAACGTGTCGGCTTTTGTCCACCCGGCAAGACATCTGCCGTGGGCCACCTCCTGCCAGTTGGCCAACGTGAACCCTGGAGAATGTCATGAAAGCCATCCCCGCCGGCTTCTCTGACTTGCTATTCAGGGCTGCGGTGTTCTTTCTGAACCCAAACAATGACCTGGCGGGATGTGGAGCTGAATGAGCAATGAGTTTAATGGGGTGGGGTGGGTGGGGAAGGACGGGGGGGGGGAACCTAAAACAAAACACAGCAGGGGAGAGAAGGGATGGCGACGGCACTTGAGGACATGGCTGAAAAGAAATATGCTTCGCCCCACGAACATATTCTTAAGCATGCTGGGGTTTGTCTTCTTAGGTATCTGACCATAAAAGGCCTCTCAGTCCCTCTTGTGTTTGCTGTAGCTCAGTTCCTTTCCAAACCTATTTCCCCACCCACCTTGCTCTCTGTCTTTTCTTTCTTGCTTATCCTTCCATTTTTGCTTTTTTGCTAAAGTGCGTGTCTTCTACCTCTCGACTCTCTATCATCCCTGCCTTCCTTCCTTCCAGCTTCCTCTCAGGCTGTCAATTTCTGGATTGTCTTGTTGTAGTACTGTGTGATGGTGGGCGTCAGGGGGTTCCAATTGTTGGCGTGCAGCTCGATGACCTCCAGGAGGAGGGAGCGGGTCAGCATGGACTCCGAGGGGCACAGCATCTTGTCACGCGCGATTGCCAGAAGCTCCGTCATCAGCTCGGGCAGCTGCTCCTCTAGTAGCCGGCCGGTGCTTTGCAGCTGTCCAGGAAGAGGAAGAGAGGGAAGGGGTCAAAACCAGGCTGTCAAGAGTGCCAATCAAACTCCAATGCCACTTCTATTTTTCCTTCCCTCCACTACTGAGAGATAGAGAGGAATACCTACTCTCAACTCATCTTCCTCTGCAGATTTTTACATTTTATTGGTCTTTAAAGTAATACACCATGTTGCTCAAATACATGATCAGGGTACCTTATAGTAAACAATGAAGAATACAGTTAAATCATCAATATGTTAAAATAAACTAAAAAGTAGCATTGCGATACCCAGATTAAACAAAACAATGAATATTACACTGTTTTTGAAAGGACGGGGGAAACAGAAAGTTATTTGCCAGGCACTGGAAAGATGTATGAATGGACAGCCATTAAGGCTGTCTAAGACACACATACAGGTTTGACGCTGGCCAAAAACCTGGAGCTTAATGTAGTCAGTTGCACGAGAGGAGGTCTATTAATCAATGGGGATTTGGTGAGTCAATTCTTTCATACGTTCCATTGATCTGAATGAACCTACTCTAAGTGCAAATTACTTTAGCATAATATGTTACAGTTAGAGCTGGCCTATTTGAATCAATGGAACTTAGGACTCACTAATTCCTAATTGACTAAATGGGCCTACTCTAGAATGCACAACTTTGCAACATGCAAACAATAAAAATTTGGAAGAGCAATCAAATCAATGTGTGATACTAGAATAAGCATGTGGTTTATTACATCTTAAACAGCATGATAAAATGAACAATCCACTCACATTGAGTGAGTTTTTGGGTATTTTTCTGACCCCATTAGAAATCCAATAGACTGACAATTAGTAGTAGTCTTAGAGAATCCGTTACATTTACAGGTCTTTTTCCCCCCCAAACCCACTGAGAATTCCAATCCCATTGCAAGGCCAACCCACCGACAACCAACATTCATTAAATTCTGGTGTGCTGCCTCATGATCCATTTTTTCCCCTAACAGACTTTTGGGGCCAATTCCCCGGTTGCCATTCTTTCCCCCTGTAAAAATGCTCAGAACATGTACAGTGACTAAACCTTGAAGACACTATTTAAAACTCTTTGGATGACAATGCTGTAGAATGTCTACCTCGTAGGTCTAGTTCTGTGCTGGTTTTGCAATAAAACGTGACTCTGGGGGAGCAAAATCTTCACTAGAAGTTACACCAAGTTGGTAGCACTTTAATGGCCTTGGCCCCACCCTACAGACTCCTGGGATTTCTAGTTTGGTGAAGTATTTAAAATTCTGTAGTAGAGATGTGCCATTTAGATTTTATAAGAAATCTCCATTGTAGAAGGTCTAACCTGACAGACCTACAATGACAGACTCTTCAATATGGCTCACCTGGAGAAAGGTGTCGTTTGAAGGCTTCAAGACAAGGAAGTTTACCCATTGCTTGCCGGGAGACTCCTAGGCCTTTCTCCAGATGAGCCACATTTAGGTGTCTACAAGTGTGGGTCTGTCAGGTGGAGCTCCCAGAATGGAGAATTCTGTGAATTGAAGTCCAATTAATCATAATGGCACGTCTCTATACTGAGGGTTCATCATTGAGCACTAAAGGTATGGTTCTCAACTGCTGCCTAACTAGACTTTCAGCTCCTTGAAACCCTGGGCCACCCCCTTTGTTGGCTTAGCCTTCTGGGAGATGAAACTGAAAACATCTGGTGAACCAAAGGTCGAAAACCATTGCACTAGGGGTGTCTAGAACCAAGATGCAAATCTCAAGGTCTTTCCAGATGGCACCAGGAACATTAAACTGGTGTTCAGCTGGTATAACTGCATAATGCAGATGCTCCCCTGGCTTCCTTGCTCCAGTGGTGATTACAGTGGGGTCTCTACTTAAGAACGTCCCTACTTAAGAACAATCCAACTTAAGAACAGCTCCATTTGCTAAATTTTGCTTCTACTTGAGAACAGAAATCCAAGATAAGAACAGGAAAAAAAAACTTTCCTGCTCTTTTTAAAAAATTCTCCCCCTAGTGGTAGAGTACGTATTAACCAGCTTTGCATTAGTTCCTATGGGAACTACAGTAATGCTTCAATGTACGAACGCACCTCTACATAACAAAAAAACAGCCAAAACGGATTAATTGGTTTTCAGTCCATTCCTATGGGAAATTTTGCTTCAACTTAAGAACGTTTCAACTTAAGAACACCATTCCAAAACGGATTAAGTTCTTAAGTAGAGGTTCCACTGTAGTTTCTATGGACGGAAAAGAGCAGATACGGATTAAATGGTTTTCAATGCTTTCCTATGGGAAATGCAGATTCAACATAAGAACTTTTCAACTTGAGAACCACCTTCCAATACGGATTAAGTTCTTAAGTAGAGACCCCACTGTAGAGGCAATACCGTTCTATGGAGGTATTTCAAGATTCTGGTTTCTACTTCTGTGAAGCAATATACAGTAGATTCTCACCATGAGGACTGTGTGGCTCTTTAAAGCAAGCAAACAACATTTTGCATATGCTGAGAAAGGTAGAAAGAGATGGTGTGTCTTTTTGTACTGCCAAGTTGGAACCATCTTATAGAGAACCTAGTAGAGCTTTCAAGTTAAGTGAGATATTTAAGGGGTGGTTTTACCAGTTCCACTCCCCTGATCAGTTTCCATAGCTGAGCAGGGATTTGAACCCTGTTCTCCAGCGTCCTAGTCCATCACTCTATCCACTACACCACACTGGGAATTCACAAAGAGATTAGGCAGAAGTATTTTAGTATTCCTACCTCCATTGAACAGCAAAGGACAGCATCTTCCTTAATGTCCTGAGATTGCAACAACTGCAGAACAAGGCAAAATAAAAACAAAGAGACCTCATTTAAGAAATCTTGGGGTGTTTTTCTGTTGTTGTTGCTAGAAATCTTTCCAACCTTGCTTTTTAAAATTCTCATTCAATGCCTTCCTAGGGATAGGAAACTCAATGCAGGCTACAATTCCTGACCTTTAGGCATGGTGACTGAGCCTTACAGGACTTGTCGTTGAAATAATTTAGAAGGAACCAGTTTTGTCTGTACCACAGTACATAGGATTTCAGCCTATGTTTCTTACCTCTGCTTCAACTGTAGGGCCAATTAAACTTTTTTTAAAAATGTCATAATTTATGCATTTTGCAGGATATACTTGTGAAAAGACCTGAGCTAGGAAAAAGATCAGACCTAAGCCAGGATTTAGGGAGTCAGTCCATGTTGAATGGAATGTTTTCAAGCTTTAGAAAACACAACCTTTTAATGAGCGTTCCCTTCAAAGAAGGATGCCGTTTCTAAAACAACTTGAGTTCATCAACTAAATACGACACATTTACTGTACAGTGCTCTCCCTTTCATTTCATTTTGTTATAAGGCCATAATGTGGGTTTATAATGGATGAAAAAAGGGGGATTTATATACTTGATTCAAATAAAATAATAAATAAATAACTTTTTCTGGGTGCTTACGTCCTTTGTGCTATGTCCTATTTTCTTTCTTTGAAGTACTGCACTGTTGTTACAGCACTGAATGGGTGGGATTAACCACACTGCTATAGCTTTCCAAGAATGGAAGCAATATGAATGGAAAAAACGTTAAACAAAATACAGATGAGACTGAAATGACTCCAGGGACAACGTTGCCTGCGGCTACATCACAGTCAAACTCTCTGTCTTTAAGACTAAACAGGCAAGCAAGAGGGATGGAGCAAAGCTTCTGCTGCGTATTCCTTTGTTTTTTCTTGCAGATTTGGGCGAGGAGCCCTAGCAGTTCAATCTCATGCCAACGATGGCATGACCATTAGCTAACAAAATGCCTGCCCTTATTGCAAATGAGGATGGAGCCTTGTCTCTCACACAATCTGGATGGCGGCATCTTTGTACACAATGCACACAGAAAAATGGTACCTTCTCAGGAAGACCTTCTCAAGTGGAGGCTGGAAGCACGCATTGACAAGGGAGGCCTTTCCTTATTATAGCTTAGAAACACGTTTTTTTCCTGACTACAACTTCCAGAATAACTAGCTAGGGATGGGAGAATCTGGGACTTGCAGTCCAAAAAAGTAACTTTTCCAAGCTTTGCTCGTAGCACAGCCATAACCTGTGCAGTTAATACTTGATTCTTTGCAGGAGTGAACAGTGTCGTTCTCTTTGAAAAGGTCAAGATGTCTTTGAGCACTTTATGGGGTGAAATCTACCATTTTCCTGTGTCACCCCAGGGTTTTGTTTTTGTTTTATTTGTTTGTTTGGTAACGATGTGGGCGGCATTTTTTATTTTTTTTGCTCTGGAACAGTCTTGTCAATTATTAGAGGAGTCTCATGGTGCTGTAGTTAAACTGCACTACTGCAGTCAAAACTCTGCTCATGAACTGGGTCAATCCCAGGTAGCCGGCTCAAGGTTGACTCAACCTTGCATCTTTTTGAGGTTGGTAAACTGAGTACCTGGCTTGCTAGGGTGGCGGTGGAAATGTGTAGCCTGCATAATTTAATTGTAAATCACCCAGAGAAAGTACTTTAAGCACTATGGGGTACTATATAAGCAGCACACTTTGCATAATGGCCATTTTTTTGGACGTTCCAAAGCTCCCTATGCTTTCTCTGATAGAACTTTGGGACATTCAATGAAACCAGGAGGAAGTTTGGTTAGACGAAAGGAAGCATTTCTTCATATGGCATGTGATGAGCAAACGACGCTCTAATACAAGATTAGAGCCTAGAAAGTTACTTTTTGTTTTTAGACTGCCAGAGTTCCACCAGTATCCATGCAGGTTATGGGACTGTACGACTTATAGTACTTTGCCAAGTTCTGCAGAACACATGGTGACTGGCCGGCTCAGAGGATGTTAAAGGAGCTGAGACCAATTCGAATTAACACAGACAAGTCCGGATGTGGTTAGAGCAGGAGTGGGCAACCTTCTGAGGTTCAGGGGCCACATCCGCTCACCTTAGAGGATCATACACCCTCCTTTTCTTCCTCACAAATTATTTTTATTTATTTATTTAAAATATTTTCATTCCACCCTTTTCCTAAAGAAGGACCCAAAGCAGTTTACTTCATTTATTTATTTAAAATATTTTCATCCCACCCTTTTCCTTAAGAAGGACCCAAAGCAGTTTACTTCGTTAAAAGACTAAAAACAGTTACGTGTACAAATATTAAAAACGATCATACAAATGCCACACTAAAAAAAAAGGTAAACAAAAGCAACACCCAAACCACTTTGAAGCAGGAAGGCACATTAAAAAAAATATCCCGGCTCAAATGGTAAACAAAAGCAACACCAAAACCACTTCGAAGCAGGAAGGCGCAACCATCCATTAAAAAAAATATATCCCGGCTCTGGCAGCCAGTATCAGAGGGAAAAGCTTGTCTGGAGAGAAAGATCTTTGCCTGCTTGCGGAAGGACAGCCAAGACGGGGCCAAGCTGGCGTCCAGTGGGAGGGAGTTCCAGAGCCTGGGAGCAGCCACAGAGAAGGTCCTCCGCTGTGTTCCCACCAAGAATGCCTGTGAGGGTGGTGGGATCAAAAGGCCTCTCCTGATGGTCTTAACAACCTGGCAGGCTCACAAAGGGAGACACAATCCTTGAAATACCTTGGACTCAAGCAGTTTAGGGCTTTGTACGATTTTTCACAAGGTATGTGATGAACAAATGACATTCTGCTACAAGATTCCTTGCATCATGAGTGCTTCAGAACATGGTAAACTAGCCCTTGACATACTCAAAGTTTTTGTCAGAACCATTGTTGTAGGCTGTGATGACATTGAGGATGCATCTAGAGCCCTGGACATAATAAATAAATAAATTGTGAGGGGGGAAAAAGGAAGACTTTTTTTTTTTCCAGGAGTGGGTATGATCCTCTTAAAGTTCAGATGTGACTGATTGTGATGTCTGAGGGCACCCACCTCTCAACCAGACAAACTCTAGACAGTACAAGTTATCATGCCATGCAACATATGCGGCCAAAAAAACAACGGGAATGATTCTGTACCTCCCTGAGGCAGGTATAAATGGGGCAGACTAGGACTCGGAAGGGCTCCCCGGTGCTGCTTCTCATGGTGCCGAATACCTCACAGAGGAAGGTGATGAAGCCGAGCCAGCGCTCCACGTCGCTCTGTTGCAGTTCTTCCCTCATGGTGAAATCTTTCTGCAAAAGAGTGAGAACAAAAAAAGGACAGGCCACGAAAGGCCATCAGATGGAGGGGAAAGGAACAACACGCCTAGGGTCAGCATGGAGGCACGAGAGCAGTTTAGGAAGCAGTTTGGCAGCAGTTAAGGAAAGAAAAGAGGAAGGGTATGACGGACATAATAGTGAAACATGATCAGCAACAGTCCGTTCTTGACCAGTGGCTATCACCCTAGACTCTGCTTTGGTTTCTTAGTTTACATGGCAGTCAAAGACAGGATCTAAGGAACTGGTTTGAGAAGGCTTGGAGACTCAAGGCCAGCAGACAGGTTATGATGCATTTTGCCTCCTGGCAGCAGAACGTATCATAACTATACATTTTAGCTGATTAATAAAGATGGCTAAAGGGTCCCTTCTGGCGCAGTAACCCAGTGACTACCAGGAAGGCAAAATAAAAAATGGAATATCACACAGTTGGTTCTTGCAGACCCTCTCCTACAGTACAAGGGCCTTAAGAGCAAACGTCGTGGAGATCTAAAAGGGGTGTTTGGCTGCAAACCAAATTCTACATCAGTTTTATGCTGTTGTGAGCCACAAGTACGGCACTGGCAACTGCGGTAGACAGAACGTTGCTCACAGCTTGTGTAAAAAGAGAGTGCAACATTTTCAAAGCGGTAGTTCTGTTTCAACACAGAAGACAAAGACAAAATGAAAAAAAAAAACCCAGAATTTGTGACATCTTTAAGACTTAACAGACTGATTTGAGTGTGTGTTCTTCTGGATTACGATCCACTTCTTCAGACACTTAAGATTTATAGACACAGGGCACATGGTTGTGGGGAAAGGACCAAGAGGAGATTAAATTGCTAATGAATTTTCGAAGTGATTATTATATAAGCATACTGCCAGTAGAGAGGGTGATTAGCTAATGCAAAGCATCTGTCAGCTACGTAATACACACAGTGGTTAGGCCTTTTTTTCTCTGAAGCCCTGAACCTGCTTTCAGGAAACAGCTGAGGCCAGAGTTTTGGAAAAGACAACAACTTTTTGGCTATACACAAGACTGTAGTGAGTCCCATGTACTACGCCTATATAAAATCACCTATAGAGAGTGCAGGTGATTTGGGTGTTCTCAAGAAAAACTTAAAATAATCAACTGGCAGATACACTTTGATTGTAGTCCTGCACTGAGTAGGGGGGGTGGACTTGATGGCCTTGTAGGCCCCTTCCAACTTCACTTTGATTCTATGAATCTTCTCTACCCTCTGGATATGTCATTGTCATGCTTGGTCTGGGAAAAATAGTAGGTGGATGTAGCATGCTACAACACATTGTGGGTACTGATCTTTGACACAGATCTGGAGGCAATTTGACCATGTTGTATGCTTCATTCAAGAGTCACTGTGAAAGCTGTTATGTCAAAAGAGAACCAAACTGGAACAAAATTTTGACATAGGTTTGGAAAAGATGCAAGATTGGATTCTTCCGATGAGTGGTCAAATACAATAGCAGTTCACAATTCATTTTCGTGTCTTATTGTTCTCTGAAGGTACTCAATTACAAAGAAAGACCTTTTCCAAGCTCTGTGTAAAACACAGAGCGTGTTGATTACCTCGACTGTTCTGGCCCTCGTGCCATGCTTCGGCTGAGCCGGCTCCTTTTATTAAAATACCACCAACATGTTTATTAATTCATATATTTATCTGTTTCCCATTTTCTTTCTTTCTTTCTTTCTTTCTTTCTTTCTTTCAAGAAATTTCACTGGTTCCTAATACACTTCTGGTCCAAATGAAAGCTACTGGTGTTGAAGAACCTAACCGCCACCAGCTTTCAATATTAATTGGAGAGGCGAAGGTGGCCTAAGAGTGTCTTTGGCCAAAAGATAATGAATAGGACAGAATCATCACCATCTTCATCATCTTAGAACTGCATTGCTGGAAGGAACTCTATGGACAGTTGAATTCAAACTCCCAACCTCAGAGACCTAAGCCAATGAGCAGCAGAGTGTGGCCATTTATTTCCCTAACTCTCATTAGCTGATTTACATACAATCCTTGAATAATTAGAGCTGGAAGAGGTCTATAAAAAGATGTTAAAAAGTAATGAAGTCAAAACAGGCAACGCAACAAGTTACTAATATTTAATTGCAGTGTTAATATGTTACAGTGCACGTATGTCTGTCATTTTTAATGAGTTACAGGATGAATTGCTTTTTAGACACTGTACAGATATAATCCAGGACTCCAATCCTACAATTACAGAAGGCAATGATTTAACTTGCAGCAGCTTCTCACCGCTAATCAAAGAGTTATCACTTGAATTCCGTTGCATGCAGTAGGCAGTGGGCTGGTGTCAACCCGAAAATTCGAGCAAGGACTCATTAATTGTTAGTAAGAAGCCAATGTGATTTACACCATCTGCCTTCTGTAGGAGTTACTCTGCAACAGGATTTGGGCTGATACATTTGTATCAAGATATAGAAGAGCTACGGCTCTAACTATATATTTAAATCTTCCATTGGAAAGGAAGGGGATTTAGAAATGCTTAACTTAGAATGGATGGTACTCTTGCTTTAGGGTATTTTTAAAAACCTCTTTCAGATGACAAGCCCATGTGCCATAAATTTCAAGAAACCTAACCTTAAAAAACAACCAGGTCAGTCACTCCTGGCAGTCTTTTCATCTTACCTAACAAATTCTGAGAGACTTTAATGTTTTGACTACAGCCAGAGGAATGGGTTCGGAGCCAGTGAAATAGCTCCGAACACAAAGTAGACCTCTCCATATTTATCACTGGCAGTACGCTGCCCCTGGCAGTAAGTACTTCACGCTGCGCTCTTTGAAAGCTGCTGTGAGGTTGCTCAGCACTAAGAATATGTGAACTCTCTTAACACAACAGCGATCCTTGCTCCCTTTTATTTTAAGCTCTCCTCTACGCCAGGAAATTCCTTTGGAGAACTCTCAGTCATCGAATTAAACACCCCATTTATCTCAATGACTGAAAAGCATTTAAAAGTAAACCAGACAATGAGCTTTGAGAAAATATGCACAGATATATAAATGTGTATGGGATGCTGAGACAGTAGATAAGCAGAAGTTTTTCTTAGTGTCTTGTAATACCGTGGTCCCCAACCCCCAGTTCTACGGCCTGGTGCCAGTCTGTGACCTTGGCAGGACTGGGCCACGGAGACAGATCTCCTGCTCTCCGCACGCACTCCCCCCACACCCATGGGTGCCCCCCCAGCGAGCGCACACCACCCCCCAACCGATCCGTGGTTTGGAAAAGGTTGGGGACCACTATTGTAATATACTGAAGCTAGGGTCCTCTAGTAAAGCTGAATAGTGGGAATTTCAGAATAAATAAAAGAAAGTACTTTTGCACATAGCACACTTAAATGGTACAATTTGTTAAATGGTGCAATCTGAAGCCTCAAGATATAGCAGACAATTGGATATGTTCATAGCCATTACGGTTGCCAATGGAAAACATCAGGAGGTCTAGGCACTACATACATCCAGTGGCTGAAATCCTGTTGTGCAGCGCTGTGTTCCCAATAGTTATGATGTCATCACCAGTGGCCAATTGCCACTGACTGAAGACAATTTCAGGGTGCATGTGACTCATTCATAATGCACTGAAGTCACACGCAGCCCAAAACTGCCAAAGGAAACCTTTCATCAGTGGCAATTTGCTCCTGTTGCTACTGTCCTTACCCTTAAGCACCACTGTAAAATAACCGTCACGTTTATCTCACACACAAAAAAACCTCTACCCTCTATTGTGATTTTCCCACTCACTGTTTCTTGCCACTATTTCCAGTCTCACGCACCGTACATCCTAATGATGTTTCCAGAAGTTGGCAGGAACATGTGACAAACCGCAACATTTTGGTCACTGCAAGCCACATGGCGAACAGCTGTCAATTATTCTTCCTATGGAATTACTACAATGTGGGAAGAAGAAGTAACAAGAAATTCAAGATATTTCTGTTTCTCGTTGAACCGTAAAAAATTTTAACGCAGAATCTTTGCATTTCTTCCACCCTGTGCCGAGATGCGAAAAACTGCCTTTGCGACAGGGAATGGATTCCTTGGACTTTCTTTACTACGAGGATCCTCATACAGTGGTGCCTCGCTTAACGACGATAATCCGTTCCAGGAAAATCGCAGTTAAGCGAAAACATCGTAAAGTGAAATAAAAAACCCCATTGAAAAACACTGAAACCCGTTCAGTGCTTTCCAATGGGGTAAAAACTCACCGTCCAGCGAAGATCCTCCATGCAGTGGCCATTTTTGCTGCCTGTATAGCGAGGAATCCATCCCTAAACACAGCGGGGAGCCATTTTAATTACCCGGCGGCCATTTTGAAACCGCCAATCAGCTGTTCTAAAAACATTGTTTTGTGAAGAATCAGTTCCCAAAGCAGGGAACCGATTACCGTAAAGCGAAATTCCCCCATTTAGACCATCGTTTTGCAATCACAATTGCAGTCGCAAAAAGACTGTCGTAAAGCAGATTCATCGTAATGCGGGGCAATCATAAAGCGAGGCACCACTGTATTTGGTTGTTTCTAAAATGTATACTAAACCTGTGTCATCTGCAAGAGCTAAATATTTAGAAGGACTTAAGAAATGAAGGTGTCTAGTTAATATAACCTCTTAAAAGTAGAATTCTCTGCTGTTGACTCTGATGGTTGGGGGTGTGTGTATTGGAATTATAGGAAGCTGGTAGCCTCAGTCCCCACAATGACAATCCAGAACCTAGATAGCAAGCATTTAATTAACTTAAAATAAATATTAGTGGCATGAACTGGTGACATCATCAATTTCTGCAGAGCAAAGTTACACCAATAGGATTTGGGTTATACTATGCTAGCTGAGGAATTCTGGAAGTTGTAGTATACTGGCCTGGGCGGGTGTGTGTGTGGTTTCCTGGAAGTTATAGTCCAAAGAAGTAATTTTTCCAAGCTCTGCAGGAGATGCAGCCATAGTATCTTAAATTTGGTGAGTTCCTTTCTCCATG